CATTGATAGTTATATACTACCAACGGCCATAGATCAATGAGTAAAGTTTACTCATTAATGTAAAGGCAATGAATAGGAAGAAGTTTAAAATTACGATAAATTTGTTACTGTACCTTCACCAGAAATCGCAAATTTTTAGCATAAACTTGTTCCGTAGAAACAATTTCATTCAAGACCATCAATCTTATCCTTGCAATTTTATCCATTTTTTCCTGACTTTTATTGCGTGTTTCATGATTCATTATTGAGCTAAGCTCTAAATTACTAACAAGATAGGCACATTAATCAATAAGGTGTAACCATATATTAGAATTAAATATAAATACACTCTTTCGATTATAATATGTAAAAGCCCTTCTATACCAGCATAAATTTTTAGAAGCATCTTATTCATTAAGTTTAGAGAATTGATTCCTGATGAATGGCGTACACTTTATACTATAAAATAAGTGATTTATATAATGTTGGAAGTTGAGTAAAAATACTGATTATCTCCATAAATAACTTTCAATCAATGACATTTGCACTCTCTATCTAATTCATTAGGATTGCATTGAAATTATGAATATATCTAGGGACATTACATTTTCATTTACAATTCGTTTTTTTCTTTTAACTGCTAGATTATTACAATATTAGTTACTCATTGTTTAATTTATTAGACATTTTCTAATTGATAACGTAAAAGAAGATATTTTATCTCTTTAAAGAAAACCAGACTCTTAAGTTTATACTGTCATACATATATTTAGTGGGTGCGGCAATTCTCTATGACCTAGTTAATTCAAATCTTAATGTCTAGATTGATTTTTCAGATAACTTAGAGATAATACAAGGCCAATGACGGTTATATAGTAATGACGTTATTTTTTTCTAATCCGAGCGATTACTTAAGCCTTGAAGACTTGATTTAAAGCTATAAATGTAATGAGGTAACACTACTCGTTCAATAGTCACATTAGTCAATAGTCACATGGTAACGATACATAAAGTAGTAATTCTATTGCCTACAAAGGCCTAGAAGAGTTGAGCGAGTGAGATCATTAGATATTGCACCTTCATTATACGTTATAACTACTTTTATTTCAAGGATGAACCCCAATAATATGAAGTTATTAATCAGTTTAATGATTCTTATATTGTTATCAAAATTTTACACTGTTGATAATGTGGTACCGTAGCTTAACCCAAAAAAGACATAGTTAATGAAGAAAGTAAAATTGTTGCGCAGTTTACCCGTCGTTATATATAGTCATTTGATGTTTAAATTTGTAAAGTATAGAAGTAATGAGTAGAAAGAATGCGTAATAATTTCAAAGTGGTCATAATCGTTGTGAGAGATATAATATGTTCCAATTGCTCTTCATTGAAAAGAATGAAATTCAATGTTGATGGCATAGAAAATTAAAAATCGACATAGTTTCGAAATTTTTTCGTTAGTATGAAATCCGATCATATTGTAATCTGACCAGATAAGATTAAAGGAAAATAATTTCTAAGTAAATAAGTGATGGTAGAAGACTACAAATTATATGTACCTGCAAATATATCTCGATGGTCTATAGAGATGTTCCAAGTAAAACAATTTTCACTGATCGTTTGTATACAAGTAATTGAAAAAATTAGTGAAAGCTGTATGTAAAAATAGACGATCAAGATCAAAGCAACAAGTATAGGTAGAAAGAGGAGTAGGGACGATCAAACCATACGTATAGAAGGGAGGACGAATTAGATAACGCATGACGGTTATCATAAGGATCTGTTACCCTTTCTGTACAGAATGAATATCCTATAACTAATTAACATTCTGTAAGAGCAATAATTGTACTGCATTATTGCAGCCATAATAAAGAGCAATCGGCTATTCATCTATTAGCTAGTAAAAATAAATTTATTCAGCACGAACTCTCGTTAACATTAATAAACATATATTAAATTTAATAATTTAATTAAATATGTACTCTACGCAAGGTTTATTGTACGTTAGTTCCATCGTAGCAGTTGTGGCACTAGTTATCATTATGATTAATCTGCTGCAACTCGGAAAAGCTGCGTAAGAAATTACATCTTTAGCGAGTGGCTAGCAGACCTTAGATTTCGATTGCACACTAATATTTAGTAGACATTTATCCAATTCGGCTCGGTTACAGCCTTTTCAAGTTTAACGATAAAGTTTATGTCAGATAGGTGTTTATTTCTATTGTATTGCCCCCATTGCTATTACCATCAATACCACCGACACCGATTGATTATTTATCGAGATGACTCCATCCTATTCTATTGGATAAACTTTAGCCAACTATCATCCAATCATCAACATTAAATAGGTCTTAAACTCATAACTGATCTGATGGAAATTAAAATAACATGCAAGATGGGCAAATTCCGGTTCAAAATGATGAAAGTTCTGTTACCCATAGCAATTTTAGAATAAATTAATTTTAATAAACCAATTGAATGAATACAAAAAATAACTTTCCTCCTTTTACAAGCAAATGACTAACTATTTTAGATCATATTAGGTACCATGTGCTCGAATGACTGGACCCCCCAAAAACTAAATAAAACGCATTTTTCGTGTTAGTTTAGACTACGCTAAAATTTTCATTGTCAAGCTTGTAACACAGAAATATTGATAAAATGTTGACTTATTTAGTATTCAAGGTACCGCTGTTATTATCAGTTCACCGAATTACTAATAATCATAATTATTACTAATACAATATATCATACGATAATCAGGTTAAGATATCGTTCTGTTACGAGTAAAAATTTTTGAAAATCATCACTCAGTATTTACAATCGCGGCTAGAACGACAAATGACGATCACGTGCATCATCCAAAGCTATCAGTTACTTATTGCTTGCAAAATCCACACCTGAAAATTGAATATGTGATACAGTGGCTGCCTGTTTCAGTATCATAATAAATTTTATGCTCTAATTATAACGTGGCCCTGGTTATTTTCACGTCCGAGAACATCAAGAATTCATGCACTTACATTACTGTACCCGTAACGAATGGATAGACATAAATTCTATCGTAGTCACTTTCATCTATAATAGTAGCTATTTCTGGAATATTTTACTGAAACTTATGGGTAAGGAAACAATTAAAATAGTGGCTATGATACAAATTCCTTACTGATATACGAGTGAGGCCTGGCTAGTTGAGAACTATATAAAGCTTACAGCATCTAACGCTAATCAATATATTGCGTCATGAAGTGTACAGTAAATACAGAAGGAAACTGCTAGAAGGTATAATACTTGTCCTATCAGAAGTGAAATGTTACACTTTTTAATAAATCAATTCCGCGACTCTGTAGCGATCTGAATTAATCTTCTCACATTTTAGTTTTATAGTACAAGATTATGTATAAGAAAATGTGTAAATGCATTTGGAATTGCTTTCGTAGTCCAAGATTTTACGAAAAATGATCTTTTGATTACGTTATTACAATACTTTAGACCATCTTAGTGCTATAATAACACTCGTCGAAAAAAAAACTACGCTGCGTTTCAATTCAATCATTAAGAGTTATCCTACAATGACTCAATTTTATCTCAAGTTGTTGCTGATGTAAAGTCAGTCAGTGTCTGCTTTTTAGCAAGCACATAGAAATAAATGTAGACAGGCCTTATCTCGACAATGGATCGATATAATATGGCCATAAACGATGAAAATTCAGTCATAATCGATATGCAACAGAGGATTATAAAAAAAAGAGACGACATAAAAATCCATATCGTCATTATAAACATACTTGATGCGATCCATACTGTAATTTGGAAATAATTAACGATGAATTATTACCGGGATAATCGAATTAATATAATCAATAGAGATAATACGGCATGATGCTTTTAGCATTACTGAGCTACTTGGTTTTCCTACCTTTCATCTGGTGCTACGTCCATTACAACATGTATTGGGATAAATAAACTTCCTGGTAGTAAAGAAATGTAAAATCAACGCGAAGTCATAATAATTTATTTTTACCGTAGCCTTACTCAACGTATCGACACAAGACGCTACAATGAATAATAATTCTGATTAATCAATTAGAAAAGCTTTATGCAGAATATCGGCTTACATGCAGTATTGACAAGTTGTATTAATTCAGTCGACGATTACTATGCAGTGATAATACCATCTCCAACTAACCTGTAATGACTTAGTGAACGTCTTTTATATTTTCCTTTGATTTGAAAGTGATAAGTACGTCAAACAATAATAACAATTGAGGATATTTGCAACTTTCTGATCACCGTAGATCTACCTACCGTGCAGGATTACTAGCGTCAAGATATTATTGTCATTAAAATAGTGATAACATGACGTTTTGAAAAAATATTTAAAATATATCTTAATTAAGTCATCAGTACTAATAGTAATCAGTCGAAATCATCTATAATTTAAATTTCCCAATCTGCTATGACATCATACCGAAAGAGCGCATAATAAGAGGTTTTTGTTCCTAATTATTATTAGATCGACTATTTATCGTCATCAATAGTAAGTTCCAAATCTGTTTCTGGTAACCACTCCGTTCATCGATCTAAACTATTAGAGATCGAATTTAGCACATTCAACTATATTAAGATATAAAATATCTACATCAGATTACGATTATCTGGCACAATATTATTTTTCAGCTATTATTAGCAAGGTTTATTGATTAAGTTCTATTTTTGACGTAGTCTAAATACGAACTTATCCGTTATTTAGATTGCTGACTGTCTTCTCCATCTTGCCCTATATAGCGTTGTTGTTTACTTACATTGGACTATTATAAAGATGTTATAGTGAAATTAAAAGCCACTGGGAAATGGATTAATAATCACTATCACTAATGCTAAAAGTCATATATAATTTACAATAATTTTGGCACGAAGAAGGAATCTTGTTATACAATACTTGATTAGTTTTATCACGCATCCCTTTCTAGAGTGCTATGTATCAGGGCCAGGCTAAAGCAATCTACAGTGTATCTAGGTCTAAGTTGTAACATGGCAACTATACCCAAACAAATACGACGTTTAAAAATGTCGTAGCTTGTAGCTTTAAACATGTAATACTAATGAAATGATGATTTTACACTCATTAATAGATACTTTCTACATGATATATACTGTAGGAGAATAATCGTTAGACTAAGGCTAGATGCAATCCTTAATAGTTAGTAAATTAGTCGACATGTTACAATGACAGAATTCAGCTTCCAATGTTCTACTTTCG